AAAAAAAAAAAAAAAAATAGTTGGAACTTACTCGAGTGCTCTTGCAGTTCCCAATGCAATCTTGACTCGGGCGCTCCATGTCAAAGGCTCGCTACTAAATTCATCAACAATATGCAGAAATTCGTGCAAGGACCCGTTTTTATGGAACTCGTAAATGAGAAGGTTTTGATCGTGCTCCGAACAATACCCAATCAGCTCTGTCACATTCGGATGATTTTTCAACCTCGAAATTTCAGCCACAATGTCCAGAAAATCCTCGGAATTGGAAAATGCTGACGAATTTATTTTCTTCACAGCAACAACCTGTGTTTTTCACCAAACATACATAGACAAGTTGAAAAAATCTATGCTCAACAGAAATATAATAAGGTAAAGAAAAATTAATTTTGTTAGGGTCTAATTACAGAAATACCCTCCCATCATCCAACTGAGCTCGGTAAACTCGTCCAATGGATCCTTCACCAATGAGATTATCGGCATTGAAACTATCTGTGGCCATCTGCAGGTCAGCGACTGAGAACAGTTTAGCATCTATTGGTGACCTGTTGACTTTCTTCGGGGGTATAACCGTCATTACAGATACATCCTTTTCATTATCGAACGACTCCTTATGACGGTGGTCAAAAGGAGGAGGTTTCAGTTTTGTAACACCCGGAGCTTCGAAAGTACTTGTCTGAACAGGCTTGATTATCCCTGCAGGAAAAAAAACATGAAATAGTAGTTAGTTGTAGTTATGTAATAATCCTAAACCTCGAGTTCAGTTACGGTAGTCAAACCTCGGCTCGAGCATGTTATCGAGCATAGGTTTTGGAAGGTCGAGCCACTCGCGAGCAGCTCGAGATATGTAATGAATTACTAAAATACCCCTTATATATAAATATTACAATATTTCATATATGTATGTGATGGTAATTTACTAGAAATTTGAGTCGAACTCGAGCCGAGCGAGCAATGCTTCGAGCATTTTGATTTCAATCGATCTCGAGCCAAGCTCGAGCAGGTTAAAAAAAAAAAAAAAACAGATCAATCTTGCTAGATAAGGCAAATGCTCGATTCTGCTCTCGGTTCGTTTGCAGCCTTTTCACAAGCCCCCACCTTTCGGATCTTGCGAAGAAGCTAAGGGAGCGAAAGGCAAGTTGTCGATATTCTCAATGTCAGTGTCTGCTTTTTTTCTCGATCTTTTCTTGATGACGAAAAATGTAATTATAGCCCCAATCACCAGAATAGATACAACAATTCCGGCTATAGCACCGCCGCCAATGCCGGAGGATGAGCTGTCGCCGGCACGGTTCCGGTTGGACCTCACGGCTGCTGCCGGAGTGCCAGGTGGCGGTGGTGGGGAATACTCGGAACTGAGTTGATTGCCGTTCAAACTGTTAGGTTAAGCAACAAAAGCAAAGATATTAATATGATATATTACTCTCTCTCTCTCTCTCTCTGTGTATGTGTGTGTGTGTTTACAAGACATATATAAAAGAGGAAAGGTGATAGATATGCTTACTGAAGGTTTATGCCTCTCAATTGCTGTGGGACCCATCCGGTAAAACGGTTATTCTCAACATTACTAGAAAACGACAAAATATATAACAATAAGCTGGAAAATCATCTTTTTTTTTTTTTTTTTTTAAAATAAATAAAGAATGAGTGTTAGCAGTCTTTACAAAGAAGTGACTCTCAGAGCTTCTATGTAGGAAATATATTCTTTATTTTGATATTTTCAATCAAGAAGCTTGAAAGCACTTTTTTTGGAGTCTATACTGAGAGAGCTTAACATTTAACTCGTTAAAGTAAAGTGCTTCGCTTTGTAAAAGTTGAAGAAGAAGCAGAATTCATAGTGCACCCATCAATGGTTTGGATTCTAATTAAATTATGCAAAAAGTTGGCATTTTCGAAGCTGAAAGTCACATTTTATGACTGAATTGAATGCAAAACACTCGAATAGTAAGAGGCACTCACAGGGTTTTAAGTGGAAGATTAGTAAGGACATCAAGAGTCCCAGTAAACTGATTGTTCTGCAAATACCTGCTTAAGTAAAATTAAGTATCCCACAAGAAAATCAGACCATACAATAAAAAATGTTCTTATTCACACTTACATATTTTGTATGCTTGTCATGAACTGGAAACTTTGAGGAAGATTATCTGACAGCTGATTATTAGACAAATCCCTGAATCATGAAAACAAATCATATGTATAAACCGATTGAGGCCACAAAATGAAAGAAATAGGAGAAGAAAGCCAATTCTCCAAGCCATAAAATTAAACTAACCAAAATAAAGATGAACATATCAACTCCAAACAAATTTATGAAGAACCGAAATGTGAAGAATTGGGACTTACAATGTGGTGAGAGCAGACAAGTTGGACTGGATATTAACTTGACCCTGAATGTTGTTGTGGCTTACATTGCTGCCATCAGAATTAAAAAATAAATATAAAAAAATAAAAAATAAAATAAAAAACAGATGCAGTTGAAATTAAGTCTAACTGCGGAAAAACCCATCTCTCCATTGAAATTAAAGATATAACATTGATACATTTCTAGAAGGAGCATTTGCTAAGTAAATGCATTTCTCAATATGACTGTCTGTAATGATGACTTGGTTTTGTAATTAAGCTAAACCTCATGGGTAGCTTTAGTAATTATTGTTTGAAGTTCAAGAATGACTTAACAGGTATTCTAGAGATCTCATCTGTGATATGGAATAAGGAAGGCCACCACTGCCACTAAAGCCACAATTAGCAAGGTTTCTGCATAGTGAAAAAAAGATTTTAAGTACAGAGAAAAAGAGAAGAAAATATTAAAAAATAACTAACCACTG